GAGCTCTGCTCAGCCACAAGCCAGGCTGATGGCTGCCAGTACAGCGGTGGTGGTGGGAGCCTCTCCTGCCTCCTCAGCAGCGCTAAGGATGTCCGACTGCAGCTTAGGCCTGCTCCCCGCTGGCAAGTGGACATCCCCAGAGGGCTCCCGGGCTGCCAGAGGGATGTCTGATTGCCATCTTAGGCCCAATACCCCGGGAAGCAGGCCTAAGCCAGCAGGTGGACATCCTCCGAGGGGTCTCAGATTGTGAGAGGGCACAGGCCGGGCTGGGGGACCCCCCTGAGTGCACAAATTTTTGTGCACCAGGCCTCTAGTCTGTTAATAAAGATTAACATCTTTTGAGTTTGGGATTTTAAATCTGAGGTTCTATGAGTAAAGTGGACCTGTAATGCCTTTTCTCTAAGCCTCTAAGCCTCAAATCCTTCATTATATAAATTGAAGTAATGTGACTAAAGGCACTCTAGGGCATTTCAAAATCCCAATAAAATAAGTATTATGTATCAAAACAAATTAAGAATATTGACTGTTTAAAATTTGTTTTCTGTGTTCCTTGACATTGAGCCTCTCGAATTAACCATGTGATATTAATATCTATCTGTAAACCAGCCCTATCATAAAGAAAACAATGCTGTCAGCTCACTTTTAAAGGACCATGTTTTTCTCCAAATATAACCTTCAAAAATAGCACCAATTCCAAACAGTTTCTTAGCAATGGGAAATATTTTTTCAGGTAACTAAGATGCTTTATAAATGAGGGAGATTAAGGAAAAAGAAAATAAACATGAAAATTATACAGAAAGAAGTTTGAGCTTAAACCATAAAAGTTTGAGGCAGAAGGAAATATGCTGGAAGTTCATAAGAAAAGAATTTCAGGCATATGATGTAACAGAAAAAAAATAACTTCTAGCCCTAGCTGGTTTGGTTCAGTGGATAGAGCATCGGCCTGTGGACTGAAGGGCTCCAGGTTCCATTCCCAGTCAAGGCCACAATCCTCGGTTACGGGTTTGATACCTGGCCCTGGTCAAGGGCATGTGCGGGGAGGCAACCAATCAATGTTTCTCTCTGTCTTTCCCCTCCCTTCCACTCTCTCTAAAAATCAATGGAAAAAATATCCTCTGGTGAGGATTAACAAAACAAAACAAACAAACAAAACACTTCTAAAATGTGATGAATACACAAAGAAGATTGAAATAAGTAGATATAAATGACTCAGGTATGTGCAGCAATGGAAGAGCTAAGAAAGCTAGAATATTTTGTGAAAGTTCTTGAAAATAATTTGAAGAACATAAATCCATTCCCATGACTGTTTGGGAAGTCACCATGCAACTTCAGTGTTTGATGTCAGGGAACAGTAAATATGGGGAAAAAAATAACTTTAATACTGTTTCTAGGGCCTGATAGAGAGAGAGAGAGAGAGAGAGAGAGAATGAGGGAGAGGAAGGTTAATCCAAATAGGGTAGTAAAATCATGTTGGACAATGATAGAAATGATTAGTGCCTGAAACGTAAGAACTAAGTTATAAATATGAAAGTTATTATTCATGTGTTCAGTAAATTTTGATTGAATACTTACTAATCTAGTTTGTGGACATATAACAAATATTAAGAGAAATCTTCAATTGTATAAAAGTTATATTTTAATGGACATAAGGGGAGTATAAACAAAATAAGCAAGTATATTAAATAGTTTATTAGAAGGTGACAAATTCTAAGGGGAAAATTAAATAGAGAATAGGGTGACCAGTGAATGTCTTACCAGGAGAGTAAAATTTTAGCAAAGATTTGAAGAAATAGAACCAATTAAATGGCTATTTAGAAGAGTGTTGCATTCATAAAAAGCAACTTGAGTAAAGGAAAATACCTATGGAGTGCTTATTATGTTTCAAGACAGAAGTGAAAAGTAGATAGATTAGATGATAGATAGATTATGATATATAGATGATAGATGATGATGATGATAGATAGATTAAATAAAAACAGATGGTAGATAGATAGATAGATAGATAGATAGATAGATAGATAATAGAATAGATAAAGATAGATGGTAGATAGATTTCCTTAATTCTTACAGCAATCTTTTAAGGTAAGAATGTATTTTTATCACCATTTTCTCCTTTATTGTTTTTCTGGCTTTATTGAGATATCAATGACATATAACATTGTGTAAGTTTAAGGTGTACAATGTGTTGACTTGATATGTTTTTGTGAAATGATTACCACTGATGCATTAGCTAATACTCCATCACCTCACATAGTACCATTTCTTTTTCATGGTTATAATAATTTTTGAAATGGAAAAACTGAACCCAGAAAAGTTAAGTAGCTCAGCCAATAAGTAAGTAAATGGGAGAATGGGAATTGAATCAGGCACTCTGACTGCAGACCTATGTTTTTTTTAACTATTTCACTATTTTGCCTTTCAAAGGCTCTAAGGCAGTGCTTCTCAACCTTCCTTATGCCGAGACCCTTTAATACAGTTCCTCATGTTGTGGTGACCCCCAATTTCATTGTTACAGATTGAACATAATTAAAGCATAGTGATTAATCACAAAAAACAATATGTAATTATATATGTGTTTTCCGATGGTCTTAGGCGATCACTGTGAAAGGGTCGTTCGACCCCCAAAGGGGTCGCGACCCACAGGTTGAGAACCGCTGCTCTAAGGTGAGATCTTATCTACCTTATTCCAAATGAAAATATCTCTCTTTTTGGCATCTTGAATTCTTCATTTCTCCTTTCCATAAAATAAATAGAATAAAATCTAAAAGTCTAGCCTTGTTATCAAGAGAGCAATAAATTTACAAGCTTCAATATAGTACACAGAATTGATATTCTTAAATTCTATTCACATCAGTGGTAATTCAAACAATTTTCAATATAGCCACCACTCATGTTATCTAAAGAGAGTTTTACCTTTTCTGTTCCGTTTTTCTATGGAGGAAACAGTACTCTCAGACCTTAAAAACCTACCATTTCCCCTACAAACCATAAAATCATCTGCAAGTGATCTTGTACTTCCAGCCTCCATTCACATACATGGAATTTCTACCTGTAAAAAACATTCCTCTCTGCTCAAAGAATGTGGACTCAACAAGTAATCTCCAAAGTTCTACCACTCTCAGGAGACAATCAGAGCAGGAAAATGGAAAATTTGTTCTCCTAAGCCTTACAGATGAACCATAAAATAAATGGATGCTTTTCCCTTAATTAGATTATTATTTTCTTTGATTAGGTTTGGGAGGTGTAGGGATGCTGAATACTCCTTCAATGGGTGCAGCTGCTGCAATACCTGGAAATAATATGCCAAGTCCAGAGCCAGTCTCTGAAACAGTGCGGAGTTATTTCCCTGAGACCTGGATCTGGGAGCTGGCAATGGTGGAGTAAGTAACATCTGTCTCCTCTTTTTGCTCTGGGTGAGGCAATGTGACCCACCCAGCATTTTCAACTTGAAGATAAGCCTTCTGAAAAGTTCTAAATAATTGTCTTAGCCTCTTACCCTTTCATACAAGACCTAAGAAAAACACTTTTATTGTATGGGCTCACTAGTATAATTGTCTCTCAGAGCAACAAGTCTAAAATAATTATTCCTAAGACTGCCTATAGAATATTCAAATTCTATACCGCCTAATGCCATCCAGGAGTCTTGCATAAACAAGATTGGATCAAGCACATAAAGAAATAAGACTGCATAAGAGTGATAGTTTTTTTGTTGGATCATGAATCTTAAATATGCTTTATGGAATTGGACAATAGTGAGGATAGCTTACGGATCAAACTGAATCATATTCAAATGTTTCTATTTAAAATATATGCATGTGTGATGTGGCCATAGACAGATAAGGGAAAGAGACACCATTTAGTCCCTTTTGTTTTCCCACCTCAGTCCCCAGTACATAATCTAGTGTCCGTATGAACCCTTTAATGGATTTCATTCTTGACAGTCCCTTTACACATATTGATTCTCACTTGAAAAAAGACATTTACCTGCTTACTCTCTGTTCTTCCTATTGCCATCTTCGCCAGCTCATCGGGCGTAGCCGAAGTAGGAGTAACAGTCCCTGACACCATCACTGAGTGGAAGGCAGGGGCCTTCTGCCTGTCCAATGACACTGGACTTGGTTTCTCTCTTCCCACCACTCTCCGAGCCTTCCAGCCCTTCTTTGTGGAACTCACAATGCCCTACTCTGTGATTCGTGGAGAGGCCTTCACACTCAAGGCTACTGTCCTAAACTACCTTCCCAATTGCATCCGGGTAAGAAAAATGAGGGTGAATTGAAAGGGTAGATAAAACTTTGGTCATTCAGCTCATGATTTGTTCCCAAGACTATGGATAATTCTTGGAATTATGTGCTAGCATTGCAAATAAACAGTGCTAAGCAAGATGGGACATGATCAGAAAGATAACACAATAACATATGAGCTACAGGTACTAAAACCACAGATCTCCAATCCACATATCTTTTTTTTTTCTGAATCTTGCTGAATCCTGACACAAGACAGGCTCTTTGGTGGGAAAATTCTTGATGCTGACACAAAATTTAGTTTTCTTAATTTTGTTGGTGTTGTTCTTCCAGCCTTCATCTCTAAACTCCCATAATATGTACTTTTAACTTTTCTTATAGCACTTCTGTCTTTGTAAATTATGGCATAGTTTTGTGTAGAGATTATCTCCTTTATAATACAATATCCTCTAGGTCAGGATCCTCTTCTTCAAAATTTTCTATGTCTTATATAGAATAGACATGTAATATATGTTAGAGGAAGTGGAGAGAGGGAGGAAGGAAGAAAATCTACACAGGAGTTAAGAACCATCCGGTAGGAACCAGTAGGTACTTCTCCCAGAGGCAATATCTGCATATGTCAGATATATAATCTAAAGGCCAGCTCCTCCTAATAAATAATCAGTCTTGATGTGTGTCATTGCCATTTTCATGCTTCTCACAGCACATGTGAAATTCATAGTCTTTTTCTAAATCCCAGTTTAGGGCAGCACCTCACATATGGCCCCAATTCCATGACTCAGCGTCTCTCCATATTCTGATAATATTTATCTCTATGCCCCACTTGTGGGTGATAGGTCAGTGTGCAACTGCAAGCCTCCACAGCCTTCCTGGCAGCCCAAAACGAAAAGGGGAAAGAATCCTACTGCATCTGTGTGAATGAGCGGCAAACCTTGTCTTGGGCAATAACTCCTAAAACTCTGGGTGAGTGACATCCCCCCTGCCAAATGTTTGCCAGTCAACAATGGATCTCTGCATACTGCTTACATCATATTCTTTTTTTTTTCTATCCACAATGGTACCCTACAACACCTGGGCCTCACAATCACTATACTTGGGCATTGGTTTCTCAGTATACATTAGCCTTGGGGTTTTTGTTGTTTTATTTTGTTTTCACCTTTCCTATTCCGGTGCATTGTAAGGTTAAAGTGCAGCCTTTGAGGTGATTGCAGAGTATAGAGTCATTTTCAGCTATTAGGGATGGCTTGGACTACTGTCAAGATGGCTACTCATTTTCTCCACATTCTTTGTTTTAGGGAATATGAACTTCTCGGTGAGTGCCCAGGCAGTGAAGTCCCAAGAGCTTTGTGGAAATAAGGTTGCTGAGGTCCCTGAGATTGGGAGGAAAGACACAGTCATCAAAACCCTATTGGTGGAAGTAAGTCTGTATTACTTTGACATGTGTTTCTGAGGCCCTAACAATAAAAAAAAACAGTATGGACATTCTTGAGGTAACAAAGGATAATTAATATCATACAGAATTCATCTGATAAGACTAATGGAATTTCCTATCCTTAAAGCATATATTATGAGAAACTTTGCTATGTAAACTTGTTAACTTTTGCATAGTTTTTTTAAAAAACATTAGGAGCCTTTTCCTTTTCTGATCTCTACCTCTCCTATAGGAGTCAAATATTTCTCTCGCCTATTACATTTGACTCTCTGCCCTTAGTATCCCTCATTTTCTCCTCAGCCAATATCCCTTGTTGTTCAATGTTTTACACATTTACACTAATTTGATAACAAGTAGGATTTGATAACATCATTTAGTCTAAACACCACCCTTCAAAGTAAATAATCTATGGTTGTCCTTTAGTCACCTCGATACTTAGCCCTCTTTTCTATTTTTTTTCTTTTCACCCAAGCCTGAAGGTATTGAGCAAGAAAAGACTTTCAATTCTATGGCCTGTACTTCAGGTAAGAGTCAATCTTCATAATCATTGTGAGAACAACGCCTCCCGAGGGTATATATTTCAAGTTACAATGCATAGTCTTACATATTATCTCCCATAATTTTCAGAATGTTCCATTCAATGTGGCATAATACTAAGTATTTCTTTATACATATTTTATAAATAGGAACACTGAGCCCAAGAGAGCAGGTTAATGTGGCTTGTGGGTACAGGCAAGACTACTACTGGGGCTTGCTTGGTTCACTTTCAGCCTTTATCTCCATAGCCAGTGGCTGCTCATTAATGAGGCAGGATGCAAAGGCTTAGAGTGCCACAGCACTAGGTAGAAAGAAAGCAGAGTCATGACAAGTTTGAATCACAGTTAATATCCCATAATTTTCAGAATGATCCATTCAATGTGGCATAATACTAAGTATTTCTTTATACATATTTTATAAATAGGAACACTGAGCCCAAGAGAGCAGGTTAATGTGGCTTGTGGGTACAGGCAAGACTACTACTGGGGCTTGCTTGGTTCACTTTCAGCCTTTATCTCCATAGCCAGTGGCTGCTCATTAATGAGGCAGGATGCAAAGGCTTAGAGTGCCACAGCACTAGGTAGAAAGAAAGCAGAGTCATGACAAGTTTGAATCACAGTTAATATTCTCTAAAATAGTTCATAATAAATCATATGGCACTTTCTGCTCATCTTACTAAAAACTTGTTTTCCATAGAAAAAAAAGAACTCCACTTTGCATCAGGATTTTACCATATCATTAAAAAACATTAAATTGTGTAGCTTGTAAATTATACTGGCACATTAGCACTAGATCTATGTTCATAGTATATAAAACACTGTTCTTGACACTTAAGAAGGACCAATTTAAGGCTTAACATTAGAGACCAACAAAATCAGAGAATTATACAATTAATTCAGAAAACTCTAGATCCTCATCAGCTCCTAGCCTTCTTTAAGAGAGCTACTGTGCACACAGCAATACAGAAGATGGTAAAACGGGAGGGAAAGGGACTCGGGAAGTTTTGTAGTGCCAAGAAAAGCTGGACTATTAAAGGTAATCTCATCATAAGGCAAATTCTTATTTCTTGGACACAGGGTTCCTCAAGGAGGCATAATAATGTTATTGCTAAATGTAATGATAACAATAATAATAACGGTTCACATGCATTGAGATTTAAGATGTTGCCAAGGCTGTTCTAATTCACACATTTTATATGTATTATTTCACGGAATCATCACATGTGCAAGTTAAAGTAGGAAGAGGTTAAGTAACCACTAGATTATACTACTATAATGGATGCCATCCTTTCATATAGATTATTTGTTTCCAAAGGTACTGAAATATCTGAGCAATTATCCCTGAAGCTCCCACCAAATGTGGTCAAAGAATCTGCCAGAGCCTCTTTCTCAGTTTTGGGTGAGTTATCTTGCATCTAGAAAACTTGTGACAAAAGAACTGCCAACCATACATTTTATCTATATATTTGTGTTCTAAATATCAACTTATTAATGTGTCAATTTATATAGGATCCTGGAAGGCTCACTTTTTCTAAATATAAATGTTCCCTTGTCCAAATGATAAAGTATCTGACTTTCAATATGAAAATCATTGGAGTTTACTAATGTTGGCTACATATGAACTTAAATAACTCTGACATTTAATCTCACATTCCCCAGGTGACATACTAGGTTCTGCTATGCAAAATACACAGAATCTCCTCCAGATGCCCTATGGCTGCGGAGAACAAAACATGGTCCTTTTTGCTCCTAACATCTATGTCTTGAACTATCTGAGTGAAACCCAACAGTTGACTTCAGAGATCAAGTCTAAGGCCATTGCCTATCTCGTCAGTGGTAAGTGAGACAAAGAAAAGTTTACCGTGTTACTCTACTAATAATGGGCTTTTTTCCCCACTATGCTGGCATTTTATCACCAGTGATCATGCTAATGTAGTGATTTTTGTAGAAATGAAAAGTTTCCCACCATCTGATACAATGTTGCATTTTGACATATAGGTGATAGCCATAACACTATGACAGATCCTACCCATGAGCCATCAAACGTCAGGGGAGTCTGGATACCATCAGCCTGCACGTGGAGATATCCTGCCTTTCTATAATACTTTCATTCCAGGTTACCAGAGGCAGCTGAACTACAAACATCAAGATGGTTCCTATAGCGCCTTCGGGGATCAGTCTGGCAGAAATGAGGGCAACACTTGGTAAGAAAAGAAAATCATTCTGAGTTTCAACTATGAGTTCAAAGCATGCCCATACAGGGTGAGACAAAAAGTAGATTTACAGTTGTTCATATGGAAAATAACACAATAATTAATAAATAATACAAGAATAAACTGTGTTTTGCATACTCACTACTGTAAACCTCCTTTTGCCCCACTCTGTCTATTCACTTACTTAATTCTTACAATAATCCTGTGAAATGAGAGCTATTAGCTTCATTTTACAGAGGAAATAATGTTCATTATGGATGAATAAATGTCTCTAGTATAAACAACTAATAAATGGCAAAACTGAGAACATTTGAAGTTGATTATTTTTATATCAACACACCAAGCCTCTCTTTCTCGTGTTGCTAAGGAACCATTATAAACTTCTTATTTGCCCTCATAAATTGTTGAACAGTGCTGAGATGCTAGAAACAGGCTAGAAAAATGGCAGCCATTACTCACAGTGCACACTTTACCGCCTTCTACTAGATGATCCTTTCTATCTAGCTAGCTAGCTATCATCTATCTATTTATCCATCCATCTATTTTTCTATTTATCAATCTATTCATTTATCCACCTGTCCATCAATTCATCTATTCATCTGTCCATCTATCATCCATTCATCTAATTATCTATCTATCTATCTGAACTAAATATGACCATACAAGAAAACAAGAGGAAATCAACAACCTGAAAAGTAGTGGAGAGACAGGATGATGTAGAGAAAATTATTTACTGAAACAGACCAGTAAAAGAAGACAGCCCAATAGAATATTAGTTGCAGAAGACAAAGTAAGAAATCAATGGAAACAAATAAATACAGAAAGTCCAGAATGTGAGAGCAAATATCTTAACCACCCCCAAGAAAACTAGGAGAAACCTAAATCTCTAAAGTGATGCTTTTGGAAGCAAGAATCCTTGGTAAGGCATCTAACAACATGCCACAGGAAAAAAAATAGAAAGAAGCTAACAGGTTAACAGAAAAAGTTTTCAAACTCTCAGTAATAGCTCTTTCATTCTCATGAGGGTGAATTGGGGGAGAGTGGGAGTCTATGTGTGCAAAACAGAGTTTTAAGGTGCTGTATGAGAATAAATGGTCTCAGAAGCCTGCTCTACTTCATCCTTCAGGCTCACAGCCTTTGTACTGCAGACCTTTGCCCAGGCTAAAAGCTACATCTTCATTGATGAAGCACATATTACCCAAGCCCTCGCCTGGCTCTCCCAGAGGCAGAAGGAGAATGGCTGTTTCAGAAACTCTGGGTCACTGCTCAACAATGCCATTAAGGTGAAGTGCTGTGAGTACTTATGCTGAACCCCATGATACATCAATATTAACATTGTTCCAAACGTGATAGTAGAAAGAAGGCACAGGAAAATTGCAAAGATGAAGTCCTAGATAATGTGAGAGGGCATCTAGGAAGGAGTTATAAACCTGAAAATTATAAAGAAGAAAGAAATGGTGCTTTGCATGAGGATGTTACTTTGCTTGATAGAGAAGATACTGAAGACAATTTGCATTAAATACCAGAGAATATACTAAAATTTAGAAGTGCAATTAATCAAGTACAATTAATCAAAATTCTCTCTCTCTCTCTCTCTCTCTCTCTCTCTCTCTCATTTACAGGGAGGAGTGGAAGACGAAGTGACCCTCTCTGTCTACATCACTATTGCTCTTCTGGAGAGTGGTCTTCCAGTCACTGTAAGACTCACCTCAGTCCCACTTCCTACTATGAAAATTACAGGCCTGATGTCTGGAACACCACTGCACTAAAAGCCAAGTCTCAGCTTTCATTTTGCTCAATGATGAGGCATTTCTCAGCCAGATGAGCTCTTTAGTCAATTCCATTCAAGGGAATTTATACTTGCCCAATAATGCCCTTGGACTATGTACCAAAACTAATCCTAAAAACACATGTTCCCTGGCCTTATTTTTTGAAAACTAAATATAAAGTTAAGAAATTTAAAATGTTTCTCAGCTTAAATATAGTGGATATTGGCTGTCTACTTGGCTGGCTGAAAACCATGAATGACATCTGTCAAGCAATATCCAACTCAGAACTTGTTCTATCCTCTACTTATCCTAGTTTGACACCAGCACCTCTTTGTCTTCACAGAACTCTGTTGTTCAAATGGCCCTACTCTGCCTGGAGTCTGCATGGAATACAGCAAAGGAGGGGCCCCGTGGAAGCCATATCTACACCAAGGCATTGTTGGCCTATGCTTTTGCCCTAGCGGGAAACCAAAATAGGAGGGGAGAAATACTGAACTCTCTGGATGAGGAAGCTGTGAAAGAAGGTGAAAGCAAATGGTTAAAAAAAAATTTCCCCTTCCACTTACACAAATTCTATAAGGAGGAATATATTCCTGCTGAGAGCAACAAGCTTTGTCTGTAATTCTTTAGCCAAGTTATCTGTTGTGAGGTCAAAACACCTTTTATAAAAATATATTCTCTGGGATTGCATATGTTATACCATACATAATGCTGCAGGTAAATTATGGAATCTTATCTCTACCTGCTGAAAGCAATATATTAAACAAATATATATTTTTATAGGATAAGTGCCTACATACTTGGATGATAAATGGTACAACAAAAAGCCATACTAAAGAAATTGCAATAACATTTTCAAAGTGTTTTTATCTCTTTTTGCCAGATTATTACAAAAGTCCTATGAGCTCAATAAGTAGGTTTTATTTTTTCAATTACAGTTTATATTCAATATCATTTTATATTAGTTTAGGTGTGCTGCATAGTAGTTAAAGAATCACATATTTTACAAAGTGGTCCCCTTGATATTTTAAGCATTCTTCTGGTACCGTACAGAGTTATTACAATATTGGCCATATTCCTTATGCTATACTGTACTTCCCCAGAACAATTTTGTGACTAATTATTTGTAGTTCTTAATCCCTTCACTTTTTTTCAGAAACTCCCCCCACCACCAATAACAACTTCCCTCCCCTCTGGCAAACATCAGTCAGTTCTCTGTATCTATGAGTCTGTTTCAATTTTGTTTATTCATTTATTTTGTTCTTTAGATTCCACATATAAGTAAAATCATACAATATTTGTCTTTCTCTGACCATTTCACTTAGCATAATACTGTCTAGGTCTGTCCATGCTGCCACAAATGGTAAAATTGCATTCTTTTTTGTGGCTAAATAATATTCTATTATGTACATATGTATACCACAGCTTTTATATCCTCTTGTTTATTGATGGGCATTTGGGTTGCTTCTGTATCTTGACTGTTGTAAATAACACTACAATGAACATAGGAGTGCATATATTGTTTTGAATTAGTGTTTTGGGTTTCTCTGGGTACATACTCTCCATACTGGTTTTTAAAATGGCTGCATCAATCTTCTCTCCCATCAAAAATGCATGACTGTTCCCTTTTCTCCACATCCTTGTCAACATTTCTTTACTGATTTATTGATGACAGCCATTCTAACAGGTATGAGTTGATATCTCATTGTGGTTTTAATTTGCATCTCTCTGATGCTTAGTGATGTTGAGCATCTTTTCGTATGTTTATTGGCAATCTGTATGTTCTCTTTGGAGGAATGTAATAGGTAGGCTTTATATCCAATTCATACTCCAATTCCCAGGAAATATCACAAATAGCAAGAAAACTCTGTCTCATTTCTCTTTCAATTAAATA